TCAGTTCTCACCCCTGCCGCAACAAGTCCAGAAATATGCGCCATGTCGCACATGAGGATCGAACCTGCGCGGGTTTCATGACATGCCTCAACAACAATACAGCCGAGTGCTCGCCTTACTCACCTGACTTGTCGGCGATCTCACGGAAGCGTTTGAAATCGGGGTAACGGGGATAAGCAGAATAACCCGTGATAAGAATCTTAGGCCGAAACCTGACAAAGACTGTCTAGTTCTAAATTAAAATACAAAAAACTCAACGATTAGTCACTAACAGGGCGGAGCGAAAACGATGATTCTTATACATACTGATTCTCGTACATATGATTCTTATACTTATACATATGTAAGCTGTTAATAAGGTGAAACTCCATAACATGAAGAAATCATATTCTTGTAAAATCTTGTGTTCACATAATTCTATATAAATGTACACACGATGAGCTACGAATCAGTTATGCATAGGGGACGGAATCCGTTCACAATTGTCAACAAACCTCAAATTTTCACATTTTTTCCCCATTTCTTCCTACAAAAGTGCGAAAATGATATTTTTTCCCGAAAACCAAGTCCGTGGCATAACTTCAACGCTACAGAAATTTGATTAAAACAGTTGTTGCAAATTTGGGGGTGCCACTCGAAATGAGGTCTTCAGATTGCGCATACAATTCACAATGTAGGTAACCACATATTATTTCATATAACTTCTCATTTTTCTCACTCGAGTGTGAAAAAATTCAACTATGAAAGAATTTCCGCATAATTTTTCTCGATAATTCGGGAAAAAACCCAAAAAAACTCGCGCATACTTCAAACATTGCTACAACGCAGCAGAACTTAAATCACATCTCAAATTTAACAAACGTTCTTACCGCGTCGCCAACAACTCCAGTTGCTCATTGCTCACTTCTTATTTTTCCAACTCCAGTATAATTCAATTTTCTCACTAAAAAAATTCACTTCCAATTTTCGATAAAAAAATCGAAAATTTTCGCATAATTTTCTTCCATAAGTCGGGAAAAAACCCCAAAAAACTCGCGCATACTTCAAAATTTTATGAATACTCTTACCGTGTTGCCAACAACTCCAGTTGCTCATAGTCTATCACTCCAGTGTTCTCATCGAGCCTGTAGGGCATCGACGTCCAGAACTTGGAAACCATTGAGACTTTTTTAGTATCTTCATCATCACAAAACGATTAGCAAAAAACACGGTATATAAAATTTAAATCAAATTTCTCACAACCCTTTAAAAAAGTTCTACCGCTGTTCTCATCCAATACACTAGTGTGATTTTATATTATAGGGAAACCAATAAGGCTAGTGCTATTCACTGCTCACATGCGTTTTTTGCGAGATGGAGTGTAAAATACGTTTTTCGTATCACTTACAACGAAATGTATACCATAGCAGTATGTGAATAATCAATCAATGGAGTTTCACAGACCGTGATATGAAAAACACTAGTGAAAAACATATCTCACGACTACTGTATATCACCGCGAATATCGCGTTTTTCACCGAGTTTTACACCACTTCACGTAAAATGGGTGGAACTCCAATATTATTAGAATATAGATCTTGCAGAGCTTGAATGGTTTTCAACAGTCACAGGTTCGATTCCCAGCACATGCTTTTTTCGAGCATTTCTTGTCGCTTACAATCACAACAGTTCTAGCCAATACACTATACACAATATTGGTGATGAGGTCACCCACATACACCCGAGTTCTTAGCTTTGGGCGAGCGACCTCCACCCCTTTTTGTATTAATGAAGTTCCACTCGTTTCACGGTGATATTCACGGTGATATGCAGTAGTCGCGAAATATGCTATTCATATCACAAGTGGTGAAACTCCATTATAAATAATAATAAGAAACTTATTATTTATATATTATAAATACTGATATACTGATTATTATCAGTATTATTTTTAGTAATTAATAATATATATATTATTAATTATTAATAATTTCACCCCAATTCTCACCAGTCTGATAACCATGCGAGAGGTGGCCCCCATGCGGCAAGTCCAATGCCATCAGCCTATCATGTGGCTCCATCAAAGCTGTGTATCTCAATAACAATGGAGTTTCACGGACCGTGATATTTCACGACTACTACAGGCCGCGAATATCGCGTTTTTCACCCAGCTTTACGCCACTTCACGTAAAACGGGTTGTGAAACTCCAATAACTCCTATTAATCGCTTTTCACTATAGTGAACTTACACTTGGAAATTCGCGGGCGACCCCGACAGAGGTTGCACGTTAACTCCCCACTGCTCAGGATTCAGCCGAAATGCTTCAAACGCTCTGAAGTGTGAGAAAATATGTGCATGCTTGTTATAGTGATGTTTCACCCTAGTGATATGAAAAACACTTCTCATGACTACTGCATCTCACCGCGAATATCGCCTTTTTTCACCAAGTTTTACGCCACCTCACGTGAAACGCGTGAAAACATATGGACGTTAATTCCCCTTGTTATCAATAAAATCTTCACTGTGCGCAACAACAAGAAGAAGGAATCCTACCTCTGTCTGCAAAGATTCTCCATCTGATCAATGTACTCATTTCCACCATAATAGCGAGCATTAGGATACCCCTCTGAATATCTACATCATAAAAAATATCTTTGCGCACGCGTGCAAATATCATTTTGATTACAGTTGAGTCAATTGACGTTGAAATCAACACGTGCAAAAAATCATAAACTTTCTACTATAATCGTCTCCGCTACAGCGGAGCGAAGCGTTTCACGATGTGCATTAATTACCAATCACAACACTGAGAATTAATTTGCATAATACTCCTATTACTATCAACAATGGAGTTTCACCCGTGATATGAAAAACACTAGTGAAAAACGCATTTTACAATTCACTTCGCGAAAAACGCATTTCAGCAGTGAAACGGTTAAAAATAGTGCGAGTATTTCACGTGAAATGGAGAGATCTGTCCGGTTTAATTCGCGAAGTGTTTTCAATTCACTGCATATCACCGCGAATATCGCGTTTATCACATTGAGTTTTACGCCCCTTCGCGTAAAACGGGTTGTGAAACTCCATTATATTATAATAATTGAATATTAATGGAGTTTCACCCAAGTGATATGAAAAACATATTTCACGACTACTACAGGCCGCGAACATCGCGTTTTTCACCCAGTTTCACACCATTTCACGTGAAACGAGTTCAACTCCATCGAGAAATGTTATTAATAATTGAATAATATTCAAGCTAAGACGATTATCATCAACCTACTTGTTCGTCATGATAGAGCCAATAGCATCAAGCACCGCTTGACTGGTGAAGTTTTCAGAAGCGATCAAAACTAGGTTCTTCTTTTGACGGGATCGCTCTTTTTCAATGATACCAGCAACCTGAAAATTTGGGAAATATATCTTCGCTTACCTCAGCTGAGCTCAAGAGTTTACATACGAATTCGCATAGAAGTGTAATACAAAAACCACCGAAAATTTCCTCAAATTTTCTGTCATATGCATATTTTCCCACACTTCAAAAACTCGATAATATCCAAAAGATTCAAATCATGCCCAATTCATGACCAAAAAACGTCACCGCGCCACAAAATTTCTCACCTCAGGATCAACATCTGGTAAATGCGCATTGAGCCTCTGAGCTTTCACAGATATCCCTCTTACCACAGACCATACCACACCACTACTACGAACAGCTATCCCTATACGAGCTAACATATTATGAGAAGTAACCTGACGCTCGATCGAACGAATATTCTACAACGACTGTAGAAGAAAATTTATCAATCGATTCACATTGTAAAATTTTGAAGTTTTCGAGAAATAACAATTTTACATACAAATTCTGCTAAAAACCAACAAAAAAATTCTCCACATATTTCACCAACAAATGCAGTTGATTATGTACACATTAGAGATGGGCGCGATTACGTTACGGTCCCGTACCGTACAGAGTACGGTGATACGGCGCACTACCGTAACCGTAACGTAATTCCGACGTAATGCGGGTACGGGCGCCCAATATCCAGAACTCAAGATTCCACCCGCAACTCGCGATAGAGCTTATCTTCCATCGAACTACTGAATGTTTGCTGTAGGCAGTTAATCTAGATAGACAGCTGTAAAATAATTTATCGAAAACCATGCCATCAAAAGGAAATGTTTTCAGTGTTTTAAAATATGTACTACATATTTCAAAACACTGATAACATTAGGTTGCCAATCAAAGCACTCATGCAAACAACTCCACGCTACGAAGTTATCAAGATCTGGTATGAGTGATAATTCGCGGAACTGCACGAAAATCATATTTCACTGCCTCTCAAAAACACATAGAAATCACTAGTTTGTGAGTATCTCAAAAATACCATACCACTCTTCGCACAAATCACAACAACACCAAACACGGCCCCGACTTCAACACGATAGACCCAAAACGCCTCTCGCCTCAACAAAGTCAACCTCAGAAACATCACTAATCATGCTCAACAATAATCACTTCTCAGGAGCCTCCACCAGGACTGTACCAGTTCGGCCACCACGCGTGTCGCCTCTTTCGACCAACCCAAGTTGTTCTCAATTTCACCGCGCCTGACGTAGCATCAACAACACATATAAAACCATATGCGAGCTATCACTGATAATACATGTTCGGTTGCTTCAGCTGACCTCAGGAATTTCCACATTTATCATGAAAATCTACTCATGGTGAGAGTATTTCACATATAGGAGTACATACATATACTATACATGTGAATTTGTTTCCCTACATATACTATACATGTGAATTCCTTTCCGTACATATACTATACATGTGAATTTGTTTCCGTACATATACTATACATGTGAATTTGTTTCCCTACATATACTATACATGTGAATTTGTTTCCCTACATATACTAGGGTTTGACCGCTCATTTCGGAGCTGCTGAGTTCGCTGACATACCGCCTAGTGTAAGAAGTACTGCTGTTGGAAAAAAGAAAAATTTCCTCAAATATTTTCATCACCAATAGTTGACCATGTGCGCAATTTCTCACAATTTTGTTCACTCCCCGTATACTAAAAATTTTCCGAAAAAAAAATTTTTTCCACCACTTACGACGTTGATTAATATTATCCTCTGGTTTAAAGCCTCTATTCGTCATCACCAACTTCGGTGAATTCACATGTGCCCACAATTTCACATCATTTCCAATACTCGGGCACGCCACAGCTTGCCAAGTTCCGTGCTTCTCTACCCAGGAACCCTCAGCTTTAACACCTTAAAAATACAATGCCGCAAGAATCGAACCCGCGCCCTTTCGCTTACTTGCTTTATGCATTTCCAATAACTTACTCATCGATTCTTTCCCTGCCAAGTCGAACGGTTTGTTACCCTCGTTATTCTTCGACAACTCATTTGCTCCCCAATCTAGTAGCAGTTTAGTCTGAGAGAAAAACAAAAAACAAC